ATATTTTACAATAGACAGAGGTGATATTTTACGATAGACAGAGTTGATATTTTACAATAGACAGAGATGATATTTTACAATAGACAGAGGTGATATTTCGAAGAACTTTTGGATTGTGTAAAATTATGCACAGACTTTTCTCTACGTTAAAATACTTTTACTTTCGGCCTTCTTACCGGATCTAGTAAAGATAAATCCGTGCATAATTGTACATGTTAATTTACCTACGTTATGAGTCTTAAACAACAACTTCTGGATTGTAACTAAATAAAATGATATTATCCTATGGAAATAAAAAAATTTTTGTTTTTACTATAGCAACATTATATTATGCTGGTTATGAATTTTTACGATGGAATGTGATTTTATCTTGAAGCAACATTATATTATGCGGATGTTGAATTTTTACCATGGAATGTGATTTTATCTTGAAGCATTCTTAAACTTTTGCCATAGAAATATGAATTACTTGGTAATAGTTTTTAAGTTTCATAGTAATATAGGGACATCTTGTCAGCTTTACAATTATTTCATGGAATCGTTAGAAACTGACGTTACAGTGTAATCTGGTGAAAATGTCATAAATTTTAAATATAAAACGATCTGTTGTTCTGTATATGAAAACACAGGCTATCGTATTCATGTGTTTCATGTTTAACATGGAAAGTGATTTATGTTCAGTACATGCTGAGAGATACTTCATATAACACAGGTCATCTGTGGACATGTCGCGTCTTTAACATAGAAAATGGTGTTAATATAAATTTTGGATGGCTTACTATAAAAGCAATCGTTTTGTGCACATGTTTCAGGTTTAATATGGAAAGTATTGTTACCTAGTGTAAACTCTACGTGATGTACAATTAAAAACAATCATATTAATGGGTATGTTTCAGGTTTAATATGGAAAGTACTGTTACCTAGTGTAAACTCTACATGATGTACAATTAAAAACAATCGTGATGGGGCCATGTTGCAGATGGAAAGAGCTGTTACTAAGTGTACACTTGGTGATTTCGCCAATCCCGTTCCTCTTGGTTGTAGTTTCAGTGTAACGATACCGAGAGGCTTATAGTGTCTCCAAGAACATTCAGTAATGTAGAGTTCATAAACCGTAAATCAAATAATGTACAGTTTATAAACAGTAAAACAAATATTACAGAAAATTTACTTTTCGCCCATCCTATCCAAATTTTTTATAATGTAAACATATAGCTTTATGTGATTAAAGTGTCCATAATATTAATGTAGATTAACTAAAACGTTACTTGTGATCAGAACAACTGGTTTTATTTCGGAAACAACAACCTACTACTTAGTTAGTCTCCTGTAATCAAAGTGTCCATAATATTAATGTAGATTAACTAAAACGTTACTTGTGATCAGAACAACTGGTTTTATTTCGGACACAACAACCTACTACTTAGTTAGTCTCCTGTAATCAAAGTGTCCATAATATTAATGTATGATTAAAAACAGTACTTGTGTCCAAAACAACTAGTCTGATAAAATAAGTTATTTGGTCATAATTAACAGAGGGATACCTAATTTGATGACGAGGAACCCACTTTTTAGAAGATATAAGCTTGGAGACGGCTTGAATGGGTAATGAAAGTAACTTGATTGTAAATGTACTGTTGCCTAGTGTAAACTCTACATGGTGTACAATTAGAAAAATTAAGTTGTATAATATCGTATTAGTCTTTAGAGAAAACCTACAAAAGTTACATTTCTCACATGTTTACTTTGTTTTAAGTGTATTACATTTTCTCCTGTCAGCTGAAAATTTCTGATGTTTATTAACCTTATCATTTCACACTAAATGTTCCCACCTATTTTAACACCACAATGAACTTAACCTCCAGAAAATCCACAATATTACACCGTCACTTATGTTATCCTGCATCATTTTATACGACAATTTGGAAATGGCAGACTTCTTTTTATTTTTCATAAGTTTATAGGTATGTGACCAATATTACGATTAATAACAACAGCTTAACTGTATACTTTATTAATTTAGAGTAACAAAAGTATCTTTCGATAGACCCAGAAACTCGAGAGCTTTCGGATAGTCCATTCTTCTTCTTCTTCAGGGTCTTTTCACCCCTCACGAGCCCGCCGGTGACACAGCGGTAAGTTTACAGCTTACAAGGCTAAAATCTTGGGTTCGATTCGTCGCGGTGGCTGCAGCAGATAGCCAAGTGTGGCTTTGCTCTACAACACATAAATAAACAAACACTTATGATTTTTGGATAGGCAACTATTCGAGTTTCTGGGTCTTTTGATGATCATTTATAATAATTATTTCGTCATAGAGTTCCAAAAGTATATTTTTGTATGATTAAAAATGTATTTAAAGCCTTCTTAAATATAAATCAGAAGACTAAAACATAAATTTATGTGCTTTTATATCATAATTCAGAGGAAAGAAATCTATATATGAGTATATAAAACCCCATTATTCTATTTATAAATTTTTACAAAGTTAATGTGAAAAAAGTAAAAAATATTGTACTTTTATTGAATTATGAAAAGTCTTAAAGTTGCACGTTAATTTTTTTATTGTAAACACCCCAAATCTAGTTCAAACTATGTTAATATAATTCAGTATACCATAAAACCTCTTGATTATGATTGTTTTATTTTCTAATAGACTTTAAGTTATATCATTAACATCATGAATAGTTTAAATTTTGCTTACTTATAGGTAGGTGAACCGTACACAGACTGCAGATACCCACTACAAGAAAATCACTGCTCTCTGTAGATTCTGGTACGCCGCAATCATAGGGTACATGTTTCAAGATTAAATAAACTGTTTCACATAAAAAGACATCAGAAGGCTGTCTTATATGCTAAGCATCCATTGAGGTGGATCCCGCTCACAACTAGGCACAAAATAATTTGTCTGCAATGGTTGAATTAACACGTCCTGTGGACCAACGACATGCAGAACAGTATTCTTTGTCTAGTCACGTCTCACCCTGCTTTGTAGAGAGTATAGAACCAGATCCAATTCCATTTTCATACAAGAATAAACGCTGGTAAACACACGAACCTGTACATCTTACGGAATGGTACCATTAACCTTACACGTTAATATTACCACAACCTACGACCCTTCATTCCTATCGTCCCACTCTGTCAGCTGAATCCAGACGCTGAAGATATCCTGGAAATAGCTCTTTTCGAAGAGTGGTCGAGAGTACCTGAGAACTTTTATGTAACGCTTTGATTTTGAGTATGCAATATCATCTTTACCGGACCGCCTTTGCTGTCCGTAATGACCATAGTCCATAACGAAGTGAAAGGTCACGGAATGCAAAGCTGTTAAGTCAGCTATGTCAAACGTTTATTTACGAGGGAAAAAGATCAATAATTTAGACTTCAGATCACAGTTGACTATCAGGCGCTTGATTATAATCAAAATGAACTAAAGCTATAGAACTACAATATTAAATTATCCTTTGATTGTGCTCTGTAATGTGTATCTGTTTTCGCACCACTACATTCTTTTATTACAAATATCACTGATACCTATGTATCACCACAGTGAATCTATGTTTATATAGGGTTTGAAGAATGTGTATTGATGCTACTAGCTCGTTATTGCAATCATTCAACAGACAAGCTATTTAAGATATTAAAAAAGAATATAAGCCCAATAAATATGAAGACGGCTATAATATACAGTTCACCACTATAAAAAGCCCAGTCTTGTTTGTTTTTTTCGAATTGCTCTTGTCTAGGATCACGGTTTACTGATGACGGGTGGAATTTTTCGAAACTAGTATAATTCAATAACGAGTGGTGATTCGAACATCAGATTATGATTCATGTTTGTTTTTAATAACTAATACTTTACTTCTATAAAATGATCATGGAATGAAAAGAGAAACAAATATCATATATCTAACATAACTATGTCGGTGGTTTTAGATTTTTTTTATTTTCGTTCCTTTCATTTTCAGATAGCTCAAGAGATTCAGATTTGTTCCTCTTTAAAGAGTCAGTGGTCAACCGAGATAAGTTATACAGAGGTCGAGTACGTTATATTAATACGATTTTGGTGCCATATTCGAAGTACACCACTTCTCCCTGCAAGTTTTCCTACAGACCATCTAGTGTACGAAAGCGCTCGTTTCAAGAGTCCAATGATATAGAAATCCCTAGGCGTTGCTTCCGACGACTTGGCCAGTATATCTTCTTATGAATTAATATGAATACCTATTTCATTTTCCATCTGTTTAAGGTATGCAACGGTTGAATGGATATGTCGTGAAATCAGTTTGTGTACACATGACGAAGATCTTTATTATGATGTGTTCTGTTGCCTGAGGTATTTGGATGATTTTTGCCACTGATCTTTGTTTGTGTTCGTGGATTATCAGTTGTTACAAGATCCCGTACTTTGCTTGCCGCGGCTGGGTTCGACTTGTTTGCAGGTCTCAATCTGGAAAGTCTTAAGGGCCTAAGGTGATTACATCTCAGAAATTCTAAACATTAGGTCTGAACAAATCTTTATTATCTGAGTGTAAGAATATTTCTGCATTTGAAAGGGCTGTTACATACCCTTCCCAAAAGCAATCAGTTTTCGGTGGAATTACACTTTCTATGAAATGCTAAACATTGTCAAACTGTGGTTCTGATACATACTGTTCCATCTGTTGTGATTATCAAATAACTTACATCCTAAAAGTTGTCTTAACATAACATACTTAACCTCTGTAGACGTAATTCTCCAAAGGGTAGAATTTCTTATTTAGAAAGGAAATCTTTAACTTCATTTTTCAAATTATTAATGTTTTACTTTTGAGGTTTATAAAATATTTGCCCTCATGACGCTTCTTTTAGCATATGTTTGCTGGTATGTTGGAATTGCTACATTTACACATGTTTTGCTGGTCAAATTAAACCTTGTTGATCTCTCTGTACATGTAGTCTTAATGATTTTAAAAGTCAGTATGGAATGGTATATAAAGTGTAACCACAAAGATTTGTACCACTTTGAGTAATAAAGTATCGGTTTCGTCATCAGGTAGTGGAGTATTTTAATTAATAAAATATACACAGTCTCCATGGTTTTATTTTCAAATGTACTGAGCTTTTTCGACGCAAGATAATATTTCTTTGTTTGTTTTTAAATATGTAGGTTTCAGTGGTGTCATAGTTAATGATTATTATGAAAGTTTCACCTATTTTCAAGTCAGGGGGTCATTTTAATTATAATTAGAGACTCTTAGTTGATGTACTAGAGTGATCGAATTTAGCTTATTTGGTGGTTCCTTCACGAAGATAAAAGTGGGGATGTAACTTACTTTAAATTTTATTATTTGAATAATTCTGCGTTGTAATATCAGTTATAAATATAGCTAGGAAATTTGATGTAGAATAAGAGAAAACAAATATAGGTTGTTTGTACTAAGTATATCCTATATAATCTGTTGCAACCATGATCTACATAAATAATACGCTTGCATTTGTCTGTACGCAACTTTTCTCGCAAATTTCTCGACCAAACGCTACAAATCTCATATTGTTAGAAAGGCCTTTGTCCGAGGAGTTCGGATTGCGTATTGGCTTTTCAATTCAGAATTTACCGTACCTATTTTTTGCTTAGTAAAACTTTTCAATGCAACGAGTATACTACAAAATGGCGCAATGTCATTGTTATCACATGACGACTGGCTTCGATTTTAACTTGTTTTTTATTTGCAAGTATTTCACACAAACAATGCGCAGTTCGTTCAAATAATCTATTTATCACTTTGTGAACACGCATTCAGATGTTTCTGCATATTCAGCTAAGTTTGTCTTCATTACAACTTTACATTTACCTTACTTTGCAACAGTTTAGCTTCGGTTCGTTTTATAGACTACTATAAACACCTTTTTTACTTTACTACAGGTTTTATTCTTTGTTTCAACTTGTAAAACCGTGTCATACACTGAATGCTCATAACTGTTTTATACTCTGTACACTATTATAAATACCTTTACTATTGTTTACTTTACGTGTAATTTTATTAAATATAGTTATGTCTACGTGAGTTTGTTTGTTTGACCGCTTACAATTATTATTTTTTTTCAAATATACCAGGGGTTATCGCCTGCAAGAAAGCGTAGCTTAAATGGCGTGCGTAAAAATGATAGAATAAGAAGAAGTCAAGCGAAGGGCACGAAAACTACCGCAAATGTTTTGCAGGTCGCGGCTAATATTTATAATAATAGGGTAAAAATGATATCCGAATCATTTTAGTAAGTCAATTGTATTTAATTAGTATGTTTGCTTTGAATATCGCGCAAAAATACTTGAGGACTAACTGCGTTTGAACGTTTTTTAGATTTACACAGTGCTCCTTTCAAAATAATTTTGGACTTCGTTTAGATGAGTTGTCCAAAATGAAAATCTACCTGTTGTAGTTAATGATAGCCTGTTATTTCTGTATGAATTTAGTTGAGGAGCTAAATTGTCTAATTGGAAATTATTCCTGGTCGTTCTTTACTTTGATCTAAAATCGATTCATTGGTTGATTAGTTTGGATCAGAAGTTCCTCCTAGTGTTTCTTTTGTAAGACTGTAACTTCCATTACAACTTGTTTCCAAAGTTGAATTGTCTGAATTTGAAAATATTTGTGAACATTTTTTTAAAAACTAAGATTCTGAAAATACTTTCTTTTGCATGTCTGCACCTCCATCAGAACATGGTTTAGAAGCTCAGTTGTCCGAAGAGAAAAGTTCTCATGCGCAATTGTTAGTCCCCAAGCTAATTCAACAAGACTGACTGTTTGTCGTAGAACTTTTCATGGATTAGTTTAGCAGATCTGACACTTCCAGTTTCAGTCAAGAGTTGAATGGTCAGAAATAGAACATTTTATTTGTTCAGCTTTTGCAGGCCTGTAAACTAAATTGTTCAGAAGTGGAAACTTTCCATCAACACATTTTTCAGACTTGTCACCACAATTTCAAATTGATTCAGGGGATGAATTGTCTGAAGTGGAAATTTTACTGTTGTAGGTCCATCACGTCCATTTGGACTTTGTTCGCGGGGCTGAAAATGCAGAATCGAAATATTCTTCTTGGTAAACTTTTGGTGACCTTAATCTCTATTCCGTTTATATTCAAGAGATAAATTGTCTGAAACGTAAAAAGTATTTTTGGTGTTACTTCTTCGGGATTATCATCTCTAGTTCAAGTTGATTCAGGAAATGAGATGTATGAAGTACAATTATATTTTCTGACGTATCCTTTGTGTATTGTTACTTTCATCTGAATTACTGGAGTCTTAAAGTTGAATTGACTGAAATTCAAGTGCCTCCTCATGCAGCTTTTGCCGGCCTGTCACCCAGGGCCTGAGATTCTAGCCTGTAACCTTTAATCTTTCACAAGCTAGGGTCTCAGGGAGTGGGGAACAGAGATCATATAATGTCTGGGGCAACATGAAAATAATGAACTCGTTGTTTAGAATACCTTTGAACATTACACAAATATCAACGACACTGGGCAGGAAAGTGGTCTTATCGGGAAAAAAAGTTAAACGTAGACTTTACAGAGGTTAAGTACGTTATATCAAAACGATTTTTGACTCTTATCATGTCGTTATATTCCAAGCGTCACATCAGTTATGCACTAATTATCTGACGAACATGCACCTTGACCATATCCCTGTAGCTTAGTTTCCATTGAGAAAGGTACCATCGTAACACTGTTATGTCCAAAGAACACCACTCCTCCCTGTTTGCTTTCCATAATACATATAGTGTAGAGAATGATGGCTTACCAGCGACTTGACCGGAATAGCATGAATACCTATTTCATTCTCCAGCTGCTTGAGGTATGCAATGGCTGAACGGAAGTAAAGACTGGGAGTTTTATATTGAAGAACCCATACAATGTTGGACTTGTCTCCATACAAACGGTCTAGAACATGGGTCTGTCAGTAATAAATTACATGGACCTTAGTATATACTTTCCTGATCCCTAACTTATCTTTGGCGCATTATCCAGTGCTAAGTTTCGTGACATACCTTCTACCATTTTTTTCATCTATTGATCTGTACAAAATATTCTAAAACTTGTTACATATATGTTTCTTCGAATGTCACCATTTTCATCCTGCTTGGTACGATTTTAAAAATTTTATGTGTTTTTTTCACAGTTACTTTTTCTTTACTGGATATGTCGTGAAAGCAACTTATGTCGCTATCCAGAAGGAAATCATTCTCAACTATGTTGCGTTCCGTTGTTTGGGTATCGTGGACAACTTTTTGACACTCTCTTTATACACGTGGATTCTCACCTGTTACAAGCCGCTACATTTGTTTACTACGGCTGGTCCTGACTTTCAAACGTGATCTACATTGCTTTGTTTTCCAATACCATTAAGTTCAAAGGATCTCCCATCATCGAAATTCTAAATATCCGACCTAAACACATCTTTATGCTCCGAATATATTGCATTAGAAAGGGTTATTACATACTTTTCCTAAAAACGATCAGTTTTCGGTTGCGTCACGTTTCCTACGAATGTCAATATGAAGTTGTGATACATCATCTTGTTGCACCGGTATAATATAACACACTCAACCTTCTGTAAAATACATCATCGTTTACATACATATGCCATATAATGTAAAATTTAACCAATGGAGATTCTCACGGCACGGCTTGTGGTAGATTTCAGGGCCGGCGAACAGTTTGAATCAGAGCGATACAACAAAATATTCTCCTGTTGCTTTAAACTGTGGTGCATTATAAGAGTGACAGTAAATCCCTTAGCGTGGATGGTGGGTTGCTGCTTCTTTCCTTCTGGTTAGTTGTTCAAAATTTGAGACGGCGGAAGATAGCCCTAGTAGCTTTACAATAAATACAAACATACGTTTATCACAGAGCAGTTATGTAAAGATGGGGAAATGAAGTTTTCCCTTTAAAAATTATTAAGCCCTTAATATTTTTGTAGTTAGAATTTTTTTAAGATAATAAAAGTGAAATAGTGTGGTAATCGCTTTGCACTTTATTTATAGCATCTGGTTTACATTTAATAGATGTAGCAAATAACGAAATGTCTTATTAACTTGAAAGGCTTTAACAAAATTTGATAAGTTATCTGATTAAAGTGGGAAGTAATAACACGCTATTTCTAATACATTTTTACATATATTTCAAAATAGAAAGATGACTTCTTCATGTTTTAGCACATAGTTTATCTTCTACAGGCTTTGACGGCACGTTCTGATAGAAGTATTTATGAATTTTCTTTCGGGTTGCCATGACAATTCGTATCTTACCCCACGCAATTTTTAAATAGATATTTCTGTTATGTTCGTTAATGGTTCAGTTGAATAGTCTTTACTTAACTGTGAAATAAATATATCTTAAAATACTTACGTCTTACGACGTGTAAATTTTACCAAGTTCAGTCAAAAGCGAATATACATTTTGAAAAGTATGTCAAAATGGCCACAACAAACGTGTCAAAAGAGATGTCGTAATTTTTTATTAAATCCTAGCTTCTATAAGCAGATATATTATTTTTGGTGTAAAAAGGATGCTGATTCTACCCTGGGACATATTCATGGCGAGTATTTACTTGATTTTTATGCTCCGAGTTTGATTATAAACACACAAGAAAGATATCGACACGTTCGATGAAAACAAGATTTTGTAATTAAAAACAAAAGATATTACTAGTTTTCTTACATTTTCATTTTTATATTTACTAGATGTTCTGTTTCTAAAAGTGTCTTTTAAAATCAGTGATGTGTCAAACATGGAGAATTTATCCACGATATAGTAAATTCCCCTTACTTGAGAACAGCTTTCTAACTGTTGTGTGATTTAGTAGAAAAACAAGATTTCAATTCGTGTTTAAAAAAATACCAAAAAACCCTAATCCAACATGTTGCACAAAATTGATATACCTCCCCGTTTCATGTGAAACGATAACAGGTTTGGTACAGTTTATTACGAATATGATATTACTTCAGATGTTATGATATTGCCTGGCATTGCTTATACGTTGGTAGTTTGTAGGT